GGCCCCGCCGTGTGCTCGCCCCACACAGGCCGCGAACAGCCGTTGAGAGTGTAAATGCCTTTCGGTTTCCCTTGTATTGCGTTGCTTTGGCTGTTTTACGCGTCGTCCGTGTGTCTCAGCCAGCGGCCGTGCTCATTAGCGAAGGTATCAAGAGAAGTCTCTTGATACGCCGGTCAAGGTTTCGCCGGCTCATGCCAGAGAACTAACTTGTTCTGTTGAAATTGGGATTTGCGTTCTGGTTTTGTCTCTCAAACCTGCCGTTTGGCGTGACTTCATGTGTTACTGGCCCTTTATTCCATCTGTTGGTGTTTTGGAAAGCGAGAAGGGAAATGGTGCTCCAGAGCAGACATTGATACAGATTCTTTTACCCACCCGTGAGGTGGCTCACTCAGCTTGGCCGCAGGGAAGCGATACGATGCTTTACTGCGTTTCGGTGGCAAAACGATGTGTAAATTTTAATGCTCTAGCTTTTTGTGACCTTAAGTGACCTTCGGATTTCTCTTCTAGGGTAGGCAGCAGTGTAGGATGAGTGATCAACAAACTAATGGGAAAAACTCAACGGCCAGTTCGAATGACTTCAGTGATCCAGTTTACAAAGAAATTGCTATAACCAATGGTTGTATCAACAGAATGACCAGAGAAGAGCTCAGAAGCAAACTTGCAGAGTTCAAGCTTGAAACCAGGTTAGGCTGATTTGTAAACATTTTATCTTTGAGAGCAGTAGGGCCATAAGGTGTGATTATCTGAAAGTTTAAAAACGCCACAAAGTGGAAAAGCGGGCACACAACCCATCACCAGTTGTTTTATGTGCAGCCTTCATGCAGCTTTTGTTCTGGGATTAGTGTGTGTGTTATCAGATATGTGTGCTGTCACAACAGGTAAAACAAAAAACCAAAAGAATATGTAACTGTAGGATGCTTCTTAACACATTTTTGATCAAGGGGAGAGAGACTACAAGGGTTCTCAGGTGGTGTTGCAGACCTTCAGCCTATAGAAACCTGCTTCAGAACATAGGTGTTTTTATTTACTGTACCCAGTACCGATCTGGTATTGGCTAGAGCCTCTGTGGTGATAGGACTCAGGATTTAATCAACGCAGAGAACGAGTACCTTTAGATGGAGAGCTTGCTAGCCTGAATAGATCAGATAGAATAGGCGAATAGGGGAGCGTATTATAAACTGGATTTGTGCTCACCAAAGAGTAGGAAGGGTCTAGGAGTATGGAGAGTGGTTCCTGCTCTGGAGCCAGACAAATTTGACATATTGTTAAGAAGGTCAACTGGAAGAAACAAATCTTATTGTTTCTACAGGTAGCTGTAATGAGGAAGTAGTGGTTGTGAGTTAGTCTGGAGAAGAGGGGGCTGAGGGGAGACCTTATGCTCTCTACAGCGACCTGAAAGAAGGCTATAGTGAGGTATCTGTTGGCCTCTTCTCCCAAGTAACAAGCAATAAGACAAGGGGAAATGGGCTCAAGTTGGTCCAGGCGGGGTTTAGATTGGACATTAGGAAAAACTTCTTCACTGAAATAGTGGTGAGACATTGGAACAAGCTGCCCAGGGAAGTGATGGATTCGCCATCCCTGGAGGTGTTAAAAAAACATGTAGATGTGACACTTTGGGACGTGGTAATGGTGGTGCTGGGCTGACAGTTGGACTTGATCTTAGAGGCCTTTTCCAAGGTTAATGATTCCACTGCTATGAAGAAAAAGAGAATATGAAAGGTGGGATGGAGTCTGAAAGGAATCTAGCTTTCTAGAGAGGAAGGTGAATGTAGGGGAGAGGATGTTCAGGGAGAAAAAAAAAAAAGAAGGAGCAGAGTTTTATTTTAACAGAATAAAAGAAAAAAAAGTCATGTGAGTGGGAGGTGCAGCCTGCCACTTCAACCTCATCCATCTACAGATGTTCTGACTTAAAAATAAAAAGCAGAATTCAGATAGTAAATAAGGTGTTTGTGTTTTCCTCCTAGCTTATTAGTTTTATGGTTTGGGGTTTTTTTCAGTTGTAAATGCAGAAAGCTTTGAACTTTTCTTTTAGCTAAGCTAGACTTATTTTGTCACTATATTCAATTATGTTGGCCAAATATGTCTTGCTTGTAAACAAATAGTTCATCACCTCTAATACAGTGAACTGAGCAGGTTGACACACACCATCCTTTCCCTTGGGGCTATTTTGATAGCAGCTTCTCTGCTCTTTCAACTTTCAGAGATTTGGTGAGGAAAAAGGTTATTTTCCCTTCCATCAGCTCCCACATTGTCTCAACATTGAATGAACTGGTCATTGAATTAAACTAGACTGATAAACCCGAGTGAAAAAGTGAAACCTGTGTTTGGAGAAGCTGATGGTCCCAAACGCAGGCTTAGCAGTCTGATTCCAGTTTTTCCATGTGAATCAGTGGGCTGATAATAATACCACTTGTTACAAGTAGTTTTTACAGCTCCTGTGATTTCATTTGCTATGTGTAATTTTAAAAATAACTTCCTTTGAAGACTAAATTATCCTTTTTTTATTGACCTCTGGTTTGTTACGTGGTAGTTTTGGCACCTGCACTTCCATATAATAATGTTTGCATTAAAAAGCCACAGTAAGTAACTTAAATAATTTGCTGTTGTGAATTTAAGTGTTAGCCACAAACCTCCTGAAAAGCAGGATCTTGACCAGGAAGTTCTTCTGAAAACTGAAGTCTTTTAATGCTTTACTTTGAATTGCCTAAGCTCAATTTTAAATTTAAACTGAGATCAATTCCAAGTGTGGGTGTTCTAGCTGGATTGTGCATTATCTGTGCCACTGATGTAGAAATACCTCAGGCATCCATGGCTTCAGGCAGAGGCCCCAGGGAAATGCTGGTGAAGCAGCAGTGCTTCGAGGACCTGAGGTCATCTAGGGCTTTGCAAAGGCTTCTGAGTCTTGCTGAACTGAGACTGCAGTGTCTGCAGTGCCTCCCCAGATACTGATGTTATCTGGATGCGTTAGTTGTTGGGGGTTATCGCAAGCCTCCGCATTATCCCAGATAATAGAGCATTAACTGTATGATAAGGTTGAATTCAGATTTCCTAAGTGCTGGTGTTCAAAATGAGGTTAATAAAGGATGAACTTTCAAATGTTAAGTATGGATTCAGTGCTACAGTGGTGAAATAATTCATTAAATGAGAGCGTGATCTTTGTCACTTTCCTTATCTCTTTAGAGGAGTGAAAGACGTGCTGAAAAAGAGACTGAAAAACTATTACAAGAAACAGAAGCTGATGCAGAAGGAACCCCCTGATGAAGACAGCTACTATGACTACATCTGTGTTGTTGACTTTGAAGCAACATGTGAAGAGGGAAACCCTCCTGAATTCATACATGAAATAATTGAGTTTCCTATTGTCTTACTAAACACACATACCCTGGAAGTAGTAAGTGATCTAATTGCTGTGTTAGTGTGCTGTTCTTCAATGTAACTTTGTTTCAGAAAGCTTAGATAACTTTTATGTCGAACTTATGAAAAACAGCTTTTTTTTGTTTTCTTAATAACTTATCTTCTGTACTCGTTACATACATACAAACAATCCTCTCTCTGCAGATCCAAAGCTCTATCTGGGATTCATCATAAACAAGTTAGCAAATTCTGTCATCCTATGTGAGGCCAACTAGACGAGACTAATGCAGAGGTCTAGAAAGTGAGGTTGAGTGAACTCTGCTTCTGGGCAGCCTACACGATTTCCACAATGTACCTGACAGGTTGGCAGCTGTGTAACCTGTTTCTAAACATACTTAGTAGGCATTTGGCAGCCTCAAGTGCTCTGTTCCAGTATACCTTTCTTTTTAGGAAAAACTGCTTGCTTTCTAACTGAAATTGAGTGACTCAGTGAAAGCTGGTTCCTTTATCAGAAACTTGTAAAAGCAGGAGGATTTCCAGTAACCAATGTGATGCTACATTAGATTGTAGCTGCATGTATGACCACATGGAGAGAGAGGATTGTACAGATTACCAATCTTGTTTCATTGCCTTCAGAATAGTAGGAAATGGCATGGTTTTTATCTCCGTCCAGAAGGTTTTGTATAGCAGCAGGGGTTTGGGGCCTTCTTTTTTCCTTTGCTTTTGTACTGCTCAGTTTCCCGGAGTGAGGTTATTGTATCTCTCTCTGACTGGCTGACATCCAGGGGTCTGTGACGTGCATACAGTTCTGAGATGTGTGTCTTGTTGCCTTCCATGAATTACAGGTGACCTGTTAGCAATACCACTTAAAAAAACCCAAACACATGAGGCTTTGCTCATGCGTGTCACTTTTTTTTTTTTTTTTCCTTACTCATGCTCTTCTTTTCCCAAACCCTCCTCTGGATTGCAGTCTGTCCTGCTTCCTTCCTTACATCCAAGTCCTTGCTCTTCGATGCCTACTGGCTGAGAGGAAGGACATGTTCTGGTTGGAAAGACAAATATCCATCCCATTGGGAATCTCACAGTGGGCCATTTCGTACTGACTGGAGAGATACATGCTCCTTTTCTCCTCCAGCAGGGCGAGTAGCCACTATTACCTTTCAGCTATGGGCAAGTGAAAGAAGTTGCTACGTAGTGTGCTGCTGCTGAGTGTTTGATCCTCTTATTACAGGAGGATACCTTTCAGCAATACGTGAAGCCAGAGATTAATCCCAAGCTTTCAAACTTCTGCATCAGTCTGACAGGAATCACCCAGGTAGTTTGCACTTTTTTTCTTTGGGAAAAAACATGGGAAGAAAAGAGATGTGGTGTTGATGTTTTCAGGCTTGTAATCCTTCATGGTCATTTCTGCGTACAGCTTAATCTCCTAATCCTTATTTTTGAGTTGGTCATTTAGGTGTCTGTAAGGGTAAAGTATTTGCTTTGTAATCCTTGTGCAAAACTTAATCTTTAGCAGAGGAAAGCATCTTTTGAATTGCATCAGTTCCTCTTGTAAGATTTTTATTCTAAAAGGTTTAGAGTTGTCAGAATGCAGTGGCTTGCGATTAAGTGGCTTGAGCAGGAGCTGGGAAGCAAGCTCCAAGGTTTTAATCTAAATTCAACAGCTGGCTAACCTTGTTACATTTATAGATGCCATTTGGAGACTGGCTCTTTTAATGGTGCTTTTTGAGTGGTTTGGTTTTGGTTTGTTTTTTGGGTTTTTTTTAAGTTAAGAAAAATCTGTCCAGTTGTCTAATGGACTGATGGTTTAATCTGTTTCTGAAGATTTTTGTGCATCTAATTTAGTGAGTGAGTTAGTGTCTATACAACAATGTAATTTTTACAATTCATGTTGATTTTTTTCTGAAGAAAAATGTTCCTCTGTTGTTTCTCCGGTTCTCTTAGGACATTGTTGATAAAGCTGATACATTTCGTCAAGTTCTGCAGAATGTCATAGAGTGGATGAGACAGCGAGAGCTGGGAACAAAGTATAGCTATTGCATGTTGACAGACGGGTATGTCCTTATGTAACCTTCAGCACGATGTAAAACTGCAAAACAGTGTTTAATCCTTGTCAGAGTATTGTTAAAGGTGGGTCATGACACTGCCATTTTGGCATTTTATTATCATTTTAGCTTTTGGGAAAATCAGAGCAGCTTAACTGAGCAATGTGAAATGAAGCTTAAATCCATTAGATGGCACTGTTTCTTTCCTGCCTTTCTGTGTGCAACTAAATGATGCTGACTCGACTTTTTATCCATTTTTTGTTGTTGTAATTCTCTGTTTCCACCTTGTTTTCATATAGCAGATAATACCTGAAAATAGTGTAGTGCAGTTTCAGTTCTAAGCAACTCCCATGCTCTCCTGAATCCAAGGTTTCGGAGATGTGCTGTTCTTATGTTGTGTCCTCTATGTTTTAGCAGTACTGTTAATACATCCTGTATATTTCACCAGAAAGTAATAATGGATTATGCTGTTCATCAACCAAGGAGAAATGGCTAGCACAGAAGCTCTCTGCTTTGGCTTAGGGGACTTGAGGCTGTGGTGGGTCCCACCTCTGACAAGCTTGGAGTGTGAGGGATCGACTAGTCCTTGAACTGCCACCTGAGCGTGCTCTCTCACAAGGTCTGCATGGGAAATCAAATCCCTTAGTGACTGCAAAGTCAGCGGGTTTTGAGATCTAAATATATCTGTGAAGCAACGTTTTTGTGGTCCTAACTTTTTTATGTGATGAGAGATACTATTTGAGCCTTGTCTTGCAGAGCACCAGCAAGGGAATTTTTCTGTACCTGATGCTTGCATTTTTAGTGGTGAAACTTTACTATTCTGTTATCCTGTCTGCTTTCCTCCCTCTGTGGGAGTGAGGGTTTTAAGTAGCACAGGGAGTTTTTAACATCATCTATGTTGAGTCGAGTGATGCGTTTTCATGTTGTTATACCTGTTGTTTGCCTGGACTAGATCTTCTGCTGTGCTGGATTGAAAAGGTGGTCCTATGCTGCTCTGTTGCAATAAGTGTGTTGAACCTAAGGGAGATGAACCCCGAAACAAACCTGGAGTTTATTAAAAAAGCACGTGGGGGATCTTAGCGTCACTTCCCAATGCTTCTGTCAAGTAAAACACAGATAAATAATCTATAGTATGAATGGCTTGAAAAGTAATGTAGGAGATGATAGGATACACAGCGAGACCTTTTTTAATCAGTCCACTTTCCAAGTGGGAAAATTTTTTCAGCCATGAGATTATTTCCTCACAATTCCTGCAGATTTGACAACCATGAATGACAGGTCTTTTCTGATGAAGAACAGTTATCATTGAAATGGATTTGTGTCCAGTATGAACAGTGATGCCATTTAAAAGCTGTCACACAAGTCTTGAGGTGTACAGTTTAGATCTGTGTATGCCTTAAAAACAAGGAGTTAAAATAATATCATTCCAATTTCACCTAATTTAAGGAATTCTGGTAAATACTGCTATTTGTCTAATTTTTTACCTATGATTAGGTTTCTGTCTTTAGAATCAACAGCGAATTAAAAGAAAAATATGCTAAAGCAAAACTGGTCCAAGACTGGTTGTGTTACTGGGCCTAGAATGTGTCTGGAATTCCCTTGCAGGGGAATCCTCTCAGTGAAATTCTTCAGGGAAAATAGGTGCAGTGACATCTGTTATATAGGTGAGATTGTGTAGACAGCTCCAAGAGAGAGGGGAGAAAAAGGCTTTGGTTTAGCTTGACGCTTGCAAACTTGTTGGAGTGGTTCCCTTCAGGAAGGCAGGCTAGAAGTGTAGCTTCATCTTCTTTCCTGAAAAGTCTGGTTCTTCTAAAGCAAAGTGCAGTCTTATTTCAGTAACCTACATTAAGTAGAGAGATGCATGCATACCAAGTAGTCAGGAAAATTTAAGGTGTCACTTGCTTCCCCGTGGGCTGGATAAGCATCAAGTTTATTGGCAGATTTTGGAGTAGATGCAGTAGGTGGAGAAGTTAGTGTTTTTGTGTTTTTTACTATCCTGGACCTGAAACCATACTAGTGAAAGTCTTGTTCGTGTCATTATTTGTTTTCTCCATGGTTAATATATTCCTATGAAAATTCTTTACAGTTACTATAGCAAAAGAGCTTTTCCTAAACTGTTTTCCTTTTACTGACCACCTAAGAAAAGACAGCTGTTTGCACTACAGCTGTGCAGTATGTACAATGCAGAGCATCTGAATTATGTATTACTAATATTTCTCTCTCTTCTCTTTTGACTTTTAAAGATCTTGGGATATGAGTAAATTTTTGAACATCCAGTGCCGTATTAGCCGTATCAAATACCCTTCTTTTGCCAAAAAGTGGATCAATATTCGCAAATCATACGGGAACTTCTATAAGGTTTGTAGAGATTGTTGTGTTTCTCTTGCGGGAAAATTTTGTTTAGAAGTCTAGCATGTCCTGTTGTGCTTCTCATCTTTACTTGTGTAGTATAAAATTATAGTGCTTAAACTGGTTGCCTGTGGCCTGATTTTTAAATGTACTTCATGCCCAGATCTCACTTTACTAATTGAAGATCATATAATCTACTGCATTTTGATTTAAGTCTTGTTTCTGAGAATCCGGAGATGCTCCAGGAAGCGTGGTGTAAAAATGCCGTACCAGTGCTCTTGGATCAGGTGTGTCCTGAAGTAGTTCAACTAAAAGGACTCTATAGTGAATTTTCAATTATTTTTTTCCTGCCATGTAATACACAACAAAACTAATTTGCACCACTACCCTCAGGTATCTCCACTTTTGACAGTGTAATGGGGACAGAGACAGATTAGGACATGTCTACGGTGGAATCAAGGTGTCAAGAGAAAAAGTAAACCTGTTGGGTGCTGGACCTTACTGCTGCTTTCTTTTACTGCCAGGTTACCATAAAAATGCGTTATTGGAGATTCTAGTGAATTCCTAGTCAGTCTACACTTAGCTATTTGTTTGAATGCAATTTCAGCCTAGCTGATGATCTTCTTGTGAAGGGCTATTTAGTGCTAAATGTAACCTCTAGGAAAAAAATGAGGTTGGTATTTAATAAGAGAAGAGCTTTACTTTGTGCTGGGCAAATACTACAGGGCTACTCCATTTCTCCCTCTATTATTCTGTCTTCTCTGCACAGTGGTGTCTGTTGGAAACACAGTAGAGCACACAGCAGTCTTAGTCCTGTCAGCTCTAACCGGCACATACCTTCTCTCTCCCTCTCTGTTGAGCACTGAGTGCTCTTTAATCAAAAGCAATGAAGACCATAGCTTAGAAGGAATCAGTTTCTTTTTACTTTTTGTGATTTTATTTTATTTTAAATAAATACCAACAATTGTAGCATTTGTAGTTGTTCGGTGCATCTGTTCAGCTATTCTGTGCTGCTGTTGAATCTGATGTTAAGTAATAGATAAAACAAATAGCAAGGAATGTATTGTAACTTTCCTGTGGAGCACCCCACGACCTGCAGTGTATCCCCCCTGCCTAGTTTCTGTTACTATTGGAGTTCCGTATTGCCACATTTTGGCAACTGTGTTATCGCCATTCAGCCTAGCTATTAAGTCGCATAGTATGGTGTTAATATCCTGCAACTTGTAGTGCCCCATGTTCCCCCACCCCAGCCACCACCACCAAGAGAGCAAAGTGATATTTTCCTTGAAAATTACGCTTTTGTTTTCTTTGACTGTTCTAAAGAACAAATGTGTGTTTGGTAGTTAATTGAGAGAGGACTTGGGGCTTTAGCTGGTGCAGCAGTTGGCCTGGGTATGCAATTAATCTTCCTTGTTTGTTCATGCTGTTGGTCATCCATGTAAATGTGGGCTGCCATCGGTGTTGCTGATGTGTTCCTGTGGTGGTTGGAGGCATTCAGAAGCTTGATGCCAGTGGGAATCGGGACCCTAGTGCTTCTTTAATCGCTTAGTATTTAAAAGGAAAACCAAAATCTGATTCCCTCTGCAATGCCACTCTGGATGGTAATTTCTTTTCTGTAAGGCTTATTAAACCTATCTAGGCCATGGCTTCCACCGTTGCCAGTGCTGGCACATCTTGAACTGGTGCTGATGGCAGTGGTGAGAGGCTCTTGACATTATCCAGAGTCTAGACAAGCTAGCTTGCTGCTGACTCTGTCTGCTCTGTAAAAATGACAGTGTCTGTCTCACCAAGGTGCTTTGAAGTTAAATTGTTAGTGATCTGACAAAAGGCAACACAAAGTATGTGACTTAAGTAGACTTAAAATCTGCATGTGTTTCTACTGCACTGTGTTAAGATTAAAAAAGACTTGGTACAGAACCTAATTCTTGTGTGTGGTTCACTTTCTCCATCAGGTTCCTCGGAACCAGACCAAGCTGATGATCATGCTCGAAAAGCTGGGCATGAACTACGATGGGAGACCTCACAGCGGACTCGATGACTCTAAAAACATTGCAAGGATAGCTATAAGGATGCTGCAGGATGGCTGTGAACTGCGGGTGAATGAGAGAATGCACGCTGGACAGCTTATGACAGTCTCCTCCTCAGCCCCCTTAGAGGGAGCCCCTGCTCCACAGATGCCCCGCTGCAGAAACTAGCAGTTCAGGGCTTCTGCCAGAGGAACTGCTCACAGAAACCCGCTAAAGACTGTTAAGAGTTTATTAAACCGCTGCCTTTGCCAACCTGTCTGCAATGCAGAATCTGAAAGCACCTTAACTAATCGTCTCTGTTGAAAGAAAGAGGAGCATGGAAGCTCTTTGAAGCCTGTGTTACAGCATTTTTTAATATAT